TGTTGTTGTTGTTGTTGTTGTTGTTGTTGTTGTTGTTGTTGTTGTTGTTGTTGTTGTTGTTGTTGTTGTTGTTGTTGTTGTTGTTGTTGTTGTTGTTATAGTTGTTGTTATAGTTGTTTTTGTTCAAGATGTTGTTGTTGTTATAGTTGTTATAGTTGTTGTCGTTGTTTTTGTTCTGGTTGTTCTTGTTCTTGGTACTGCGGTAACACAACCCTTTTCGCCTCTTGTCTCTGCTGCTGCCGCTCCTGCTTGCACGCCCTTCTGCCATCGCCGCTGCGTGGGCGGACGGTTGAAACCGCGAAGAACAACGAGCAACACTTCAAGGAGGTCCTCAGGGGAAAGGGTCAGGCGGGGCGGGGGCTTCTGGTGTTGGTTCTAAGCGTCATATTCTGCAGCTCGGACAAGAGCGTGGCCGAGAACCAGCTGTTCAAGAAGCTCCACGACCACGTCGACGAGAGGGTGAGAGAGCACCTGGACAAAAGCAACCGCCGGGGTTTGTTGAAGGCATCATGTATTGCACCGTTCCGTTTCCAAGCGGTTGCTATGATGAAGTTTGATACTTTTCGTGCTTGTTCTGATTGATTCGCTGGTTTTGGAAGCATCATGTGTTGTACCGTTCTGTTTTCACGTGTTTGCTATGAAAGTTGTTCTGATTGATTTGCTGGCTATGGAAGCATCATGTACTACCGTTCTGTTTCCAAGCGCTGGCTATGATGACGAAGTTTGTTATTTTTTCGTGCTTGCTCTGATTGATTTGCTGGTTTTGGAAGCATCTCATCAATGTACCGTTCTGTTTCCAAGCGGTTGCAATGAAGGGGTGCTTGTTGTGATTGATTTGCTGGTTTTGTTCTTCGTCCAGGTCCCCGAGAAGGCTTGGAACGGGAGCAACCCCAAGAACAAGGTCAGGGTGCACGTCGACGGGCTCGGTGATGTTCACGAGCACCTTGCGGTGAGTGAGTGGTTCTGGGGTTAGGGCCGTTTTGTGCACAGCTAGTTTGCTTCCAATTTTGCCAAAATTTCCAAATCCGTAGACCGTTGAACCTTGATTGGCGGCCGAGGAAAAATTTCGGAAGTTTCGAAATTTGGGAACTATTGTACTGACACCGAAACGAGTTTTGGAAAAAAAATGGAAATCTGGGAAATCCCTCGATAGTACGAGCGGAAGCAGTTGTTAGAATAGGAGAGAGACAACGCGAAGCGTTTTCGAGGCAAGGTCTGCGAAAAGCTTCTTGGTAAAGAACGAAGAGAGAAAAAACGTAAAAACGAAGGCTTCTCGACCCAAGATTTGCGAGAAGCTTCTCAGAAAAGAATGAAGAGAAAAAACGAACAAGTTTCGGGGCAAGGTTTTCGAGAAGCACGTTGGTGTACCTCGTACGATGATACAGCCTGTTGGGAGAGGCACTTCTGAAGTCGGTTGACCGAAGATCAAGATACGAGGCAACTCTCATCCCCTCCCCCTTACTGTTTCGTGACGTTGTACGTCGGTGTATACGTACGATGCGGGTGTATGCTCGCCTGACTCGCCCGAAGACCATGCATGCATATGCTTGGGTGTAATTCTTCAACAGGGTCAACAAGAGTCCAGTTGTATCGAGCGGATTTTCTCAATTTACCGATACTTTGCTTGTTGTCGCACCCCCGTGTTAGGCTTTTTCTCCACAACTGAGGGTGCGAACGCCAACTGATACCTCTCCGGAAAGCCCTCGATGAGATGATTCCAAAACCACCCTTTTCGGAGGTGATACCTCCCTGGTTGCGGAGAATACGCTATTGAAAAACGCTAAATAACACGGGGGTGCGATAACACGCACAATTACGGTACTCGCGCACGGACTTAACACATCCCTTCGACAGCTGTTGTGGTATTTTCTCGAGAACGTATGCATAGTCTGTCTGTGGTTGTAAGCATGTTACCTGTAGTCGTGTCGTGGCGGAACTTGTTTCGTTTCTCATGGCACGTTTCGATCGGACAGTTTTCGGTTGCGGGTTTGTGAGACCCCTCCCTCGCCCTTACGTTTGGTTGGTTGCATGGCAGATGTTCACCAAGCAGCACTACCTCCTGAAGAAGATGGTGGACAAGCCCACCGCGGACGGGGGCACCGAATCGATCCCGCACTACTCCATGGGACCTCGATCTGTCTTGGAAGTGAGTAGGTATTTTCCTTTTTCTTTTCTTTTCTTTTCTTTTCTTTTGGTTTCTGTCCTTGTCTTCTCACGCACCGCGCCGTGCAACAAACAGTATCAACTTACCACGATTGTTGAGAATGGCCACTGCTGCTCCCTCTGTTGTTCTCTTCCGACGTACATGATCTTGCCGCTTCGTTTGCCTATCGTATGCATTCATTGCCGCAAGCCTGACACTGGGACCGTGATGAGTAGGATCGGCAACAGAGTAGTGCCAGGTCTTGCTCATGTTCCAGTCAGCAAGATCGCTTCCGTGAGGAACAATTTGACCAGTACGGCGGCGTGTTTAGGGCTACCCCCACGTTGTTTTATGCAGAGTGTACCACGCCCGACTCCCAGCTGTGTTTATTTGTATGTTGTTGTTTTCTTCACATTAAACTCGTGTCAGGTTGCTAACCCAAAATCTAGCGAAGACTCGGTCCGTGGCCACAAAGATGCTAGAGCCATCAGAAGATCTAAAGAACACACACACACACTATTAGCAAGAAAAGGGTACACAAGCCCGAGGGGGTACACCTACAATCCCTGCAGCACGTTTGCGTGCTCACAACTGAACCACACGCCCACACACTACAATTCGACTACAGCAGCAGCATCACCCCCCTTGTCCCGCATTTAACCAAAATGAATGATTGTCGACTACAGCGTACTGCTGTCTGGTGTGCTGTCTGTACAATAATAACACCATGGTGCATGGTATACAAGCTCGGGGCATGCAGCTGCTGTCTGAAGTGCTGCCAGAATGAGTCCGTGGACATACAATGAAGAACACCCAACCAAAGCCATCATTGCAATTGACAATCACCCGAATCTATCCAGATCATCTGTGTTGGGCACAGCAGTGTAAACATCGACACTGACTAGGAATCGTTCCACATTGAAGGGGTCTTCCACGATGCAGGTACACATTAAGGCACCTGGGTTATCCGCGCCATCTCTGCCGCGTCTCTCTGCCGCGTCTCTCTACAAAACCAGTGACGTCATCACACACACCCAACACCTATATTCAGGAAAATAACGGAAAATAATTAACAACACAAGAGATGTTTGTCCGTGCGCCACGGTTCGATGCCGTCCGCATGCTCCGGTTCCGCTGCTCCGGTGCCGCTGCTCCGGTGCCGCTGCTTCTGTGCCGCTTCTCCGGTGCCGCTGTGGCCAGTCCTAGCGCGACCAAACTCGACCCGCCCCGCTTCGTACACGCTTTCGTTGCTGTCCTTCCCAGTCGGTTCCTCGCTTTCTCCCTCGTTGCACGTAGGGTTCTTGGTCTGAAAATTCTCGCGTCGAAGGGTCAACCAGCCCAATCAGCTCGTCACCACCTGTCCCCTCCTCCTTTGATGGTAAAACCAGGTTATTGAGACAGTACAGCTCCCTCTAGCAAACCTAGGGCCGTGTACATAGTGCCCGTCCACCTTTCTGATGGCGTCTGCCTCCGCACACAAAGATGAGATGGGCATTGTGCCTACACCGACGGCCTGGAGGCCCGCGCACCTGCACCTTTGTACCTGACGCGCCAGTGCCGACNGGGCCGTGTACATAGTGCCCGTCCACCTTTCTGATGGCGTCTGCCTCCGCACACAAAGATGAGATGGGCATTGTGCCTACACCGACGGCCTGGAGGCCCGCGCACCTGCACCTTTGTACCTGACGCGCCAGTGCCGACGCAACTCCACCACTACGCACGCCTCGCGGCGGGTGCGCCGCAGCAAGAAGGTATCGATCCCTTGAGGGTGAGTCTAGCCCTGCTCGCTAGAAAGATGCCCCCCCTCGCTTTGGGTCATGCCTAAGCAAAAGCTTGCCGAGGCAGCGAGGGGAAGAAGGCATGTATGCTCATGCGTGGATGCTTGCGTGCTTCATTTTGTCTACCCCACTCCCCCCTCCCCAACCCTGTGCACAAGCTTGACCACCGTTTGACCTTTGCTTAAGTCCCTCTCCACCCCGCGTTTTGCACGCTTCGCTCTACCCTCTGCGCCAACTTATGTGTGATGTGTGACTTGTTCTCTGTAGTTGTCGCCATCGCTGCTTCCGTGGGTGATCGATTCACTCTTGTCCCCGAAAACCGCACTGCCACCGCTGCTGTTTCTTCTCTAGCCTTCATGGCTTTTGAAAACACCCTGTTGACGCCAACCCAACTGTTTCCTCTTCGGCAACACACCTGCTTGTGCTATCATACCCCTCTGCTTGTGCTCGTTCCGTACCTGTCCTTCACCGCCACCTTGCTTTACTGCCGCCGCCCTCCACGGCTTTGTCTCCCGCACCACTAACTTAACGATGTAGCTGGTGCTACGCATCCTCTCGCGGCGCTTCGCGCTTGGTGACGTGATACACCTTGTCTGGTGAAAACTCGACGTGCTCCGTCCCGGCTTTGTAGGGATGCGAAATTCAATGGTCTAACGACTGCGGCATGCACGGCTATGAGTACCCAGCCCCCGCCCCCCAAGTTTTCCATGAAGTTTTGGATGGGTATACAACGCCCGCACAACGAAATTGATGGACCTCTTCGCCGACCCGTCCCGTCGCCAGATCGGGCACCGCCAACTCGTGGAACTCATGGCCAAGGTGATGGGACAATCCATAGACCCGTCGGACTTGCTGGGCCTGGAGGAGCAAGAGTCGCAGGGCCTCAGCCAGATGGCCACCCAGGACCATTGAACCAATCGCGGCTATAATAGCCAGCTGCCGTCGGTTTCCCGAGCTGTTTGTTTGTTGGTTCCGGTAATATTGTTGGTGTTGGTGATCGTACGGGCTTGGCGTTTCGTGTGATGCTGGCGGTTTCATTTGTATTTTCCAGCCGGGGGTGTACAACGAAATGTTGATTGACGTAGACCCCATGCATTGGCGTGCTGTGGCTATTAAGTAACTTTTTGCAATCGAGAACGGGGATTCGTCGGAGGAGAGTCAACCACTTTCAGGCAGCAGTGCCGGGACAAGTCTTGCTGCAACACGAGAAACATTGTGGTGACTAGCGGGAGCTTCGGTTACGTGGCGTGTTTGGCGCTGTCGTTTTCTGTATTAGTTAAAAAGTTTAGGGTGGGCCTCTGTTTGAAGGTGCCCGTTGCGATGTGTTAAATTAGGGATAGTTTAGTTGCCTGCGGGTCGTTCCATGTCGCCAGGGAGTAAATTATTTCTACCGCGGCTTTGGAGGGGGGGGAGGGAGCACGCGACCGTCGGGAACCTCGCCCGAAATTGCATGGTAGCATTGTATGCAATAGAGGTATATAGGACTAAGAACTGGTCGGCAAAAAGCTGCAGAGACTTGGGCAAGTGAAATGGACTCCTCCTTGCATATGAGAAGATGCTCCGAGCGGCTAGGCCTGTTGCGCGTGAGCGTGCTCGAAAACAAACGACGGAAAGGGGGAGGGCTTGCAGCAATGGATGGCTCTAGTTCGTCGCATTAGGGTTGCCGTGGATTGCGACGATTTTCGGTCTTAGTTTTTGCTTATTTTTGTCTGCTGCTGTCAAGACGGACACATTCAGAAGGGAAGCGGGACATAACCGCACAAGAAAAAACCGGAGGCAGTATTTTTTGTTGTGGCAGACAGTGTCAACGCATGGGAGTCATTAGACATACGACGAAAATGGAAGTGAAAGCAAGGGGAAAGGGTGTGTGCGAAGAGGTCCTCGTAAACGCTCGCACTGCTCCTGAATTTTTTTGTTCCAAGTATTATTTTGCGCCATCCGTGTCCCAGGCGTTTCTTCGGCCTGAAAGCAGACCAATCTGTGGAAAACGGCGAAGAGAGAGTGTGCTTGTTCGTATGTATGGACTCCTTTGATTTCCCCAATTGCAAGTTGGGTCTTCTGCCGCGGTTAACAAATAAAACGACTAAACTCATCATCTTTCCGTAGCCCACGGCAATCCATGGATTGATCGACAGAGTCTAGGTGCGGTCGAATATGTTCCCCCCGTGCTGGCTGTCGCATGTCCTGCCAGCGAAGGCTTCTACAGCACCCGCGGACGTGCGGAGCACACGTCGTCGAGTTTCGCCCGCCCGCCCGACCGCCCACGCTTGCAGGCTTTCGGCATTGGTACCGACTTTTCTCATCGCAGTTGTAGGAAGTACACGCGCCAGACCTTGACATTGCTTTGGATAGGGGTACTTTTGTGTGCGTACATGAAGGAATTCCTACGCCCCCCCCCACGCGAGGCGCAGATTTCCTATGCCTCTTACACTACCGCGTAGAACACGATCATAAGCAAAAACACCAACACCAACACAACAACACAAACAACAACCTCCAGGCGTGGAACATGGGGCGAGGAGGGCAACCTGACTGCCTAGCAGGGGCACACTTACCCTACAGTGTTGGGCACCTTACACACTTATTTTCCTTGCTTTTACGCTTTTCCTTACAGTCGTGGGCCCGGTTTAGTGGTCCATAGTGTCACGAAATTTCATAACCGCTATTCAGGATCGCCGCTAACCCGCTTTAGCGGTCATTACCCGCTAGACAAGGAGGCTCAATAACAGCGGTCACGAACCGCTAAATCGGGAACAAGGTCATCTTTGCCCTACAAGAGGAGCGTCGAAATCTTGACAGGGCCATGTGTCTCAGTGTAGCAGCCATACGAAGGTGCAGATAATGAAGTAACGAGCCGAAGAAGGACGACGCCGCAAGTACGTTCATTAATAGTGCATTTATTCTAGTTCGCCAAAGCACGAAGCATATTTTCCCTTCTGGACTGTATGCCCCCCATCAAGACTGGCACATCGTTCGTGTCTCTGACGAACCGAACGTGATGAGACAAACTTGTGACAACGAAATGACATCCAACCACGTGCTTGAGCATCTAATTTCTGCCATGTGTCACGCATCGATAATTCTGAACGCAATATAATCTCTCTGATGTTTGCCTTGCGCGCTGGTTGAGCGGCGCGCGCCGCGAGGAACGCCATTTTTCCCTTGCGAAAATAGTGTCCTACTTCGCTTACGCTACACGACTCCGCGCTCTCCACGCTGGCCAAAATCCGATGATAGCTCCTAGTATGTATGGTGGCGGCGTCATCACCCCCCTGCCCTTCGCATCGTCAACTTGTGCCGTGGTATCTAACCCTAGCTCTAGGTCGTCGTCGGAGGGGTTAGGCCTCTGTCCATGTACGTAATGGACAATTTTCAACGACCTCGTCATCGCGCCCTTGAGCTAACTAGCCAAAGTAGAGCCGCCTGTGGGGTTGTTGTGTAGCTGCAGAGCGACTTGCTTCTTTCCGCGCGCCTGGTGCTCGAAAGCCACCTTCCACCACTTGGCGCTTGGGCGGATTTGAGAGGCGAAGGGAACTCTGCGCCTTCTTGGTTGCACGCCGGTTGCATCTCGTTGTCATCCAGATCCTGCACCTCCTCACACAGGCCGTGTATGCGGTCGTTCCAGCAACCTTTACAATCGTGCGCGCCGCTTGGACTTAGTGCCGCATCTACAAGCTTGCACAATTCTCCATCCACGCGCCGCATGGTGTGTGCCTTCATTATTTACATCGACCGCGCTAACCGGTTGACCAATGAAAAGACGTCGTCGTCAATCTCAGTACGGTTGAAAACACAGAACATTTCTACATGCCATTAACTGGGACCTCGCGAAGCTATTCTCCGGATTAAGGACAGAAACGATAGCAACAGAGGAAACTACTACCTTGCACTCGAGTTCGTTTTGGAGTGCTTTCACCACCGTCACTCTCATCGTTGTTTTTACAGCTATTTCTCGGCGATTCTTTTCTAGCCCTGCGCCGTGTGGTGTGAGTGTGTCTCGCTGTGTCCTTTTTGTTGTGAGCATCGACCAGCCAACAGGCTGACCAATGTCGCTGTGCTGTGAGTATGTGCAAGCGAAGCGCGCACTAGGTCTCCGCAAAAATTGAACCGATAACCGCTATTGGTGTCTGAAAATATTTACAATAACCGAGGGCACGACCGAGTTACCCGTTGAAATAACCGCTTAACCGGGGTGCAGCCGTGTCACGAGATCTTTGTACCGCTATTCAGGGTATCCCGCTATACAGGGAACCGCAAAACCGGGACCACGACTGTATCGAAGAAGAGTTTTTTTTGTGACATGCTAATTGCCAACCCCCCCTACTTTCTCACAACCAGGCGCCAGATCCTTCCCCTGACTATGTCCGCGATGCCCTTCGGAAGCAACCGCCGTCGCCGCCTATCCCCGCCCTTACTTTTCGACTTCGAAGCCCCCCTGGATGTCCCCCTTCCCCCCGTGCGTGCCAACACCTCAATTTTTTCAAATTTCTTCTTCGAAGGCGGCCACAACCTGCCCCACGCCCCTGGGCGTATTTTTCGAGCTTATCGTAGGTTCCGGTCAAACTTTCGACGTCTCCCCCCCTCTTTCTCTCTCCATCAAGAAATGAACGCCTCTTCGTCATCTTCGATGTCACAGAGACTTTCAAAAAATGACCAAGTTAATGCATTACTGTTGTGTGGCTTTGGGTAGGGCATATCCACGGGTTTGTCTGCCGCATCCCTCCCTCCTCAATTGTAGAGGTACCTTCTATTTTTTGTTCGTCGCTCATGTGCCTACCAACTTCACACATCGATCGATAGAAAGAACAAACAACGTAGCCTATACAGTAGAGTATAAGACACTAGCAGCAAAATTGTCGTGAAAACGCCCTACCCCCCGCTTACGGCACACCTGAGAGCGGCGCGCACAACAACAACCGATCAACATGATCGATCGATGATGCACTCCACACTCATCTTTTCAAAACAAAGGAACCATGAAAGATCACGCGAGATCGGAATACAACGGCACCGAACAAAACAACAACGATACATCAACAAAACGCTATTACCTAAGGAATGGAAACAACGATGCTCAGAGACAACTGGCGACAAAACAAAAAGTCTCTCCCCTTTGTACTGACTAGTTCGGGGATGACACGCGTAAGGCTTGTGGGGTTTTTGATGTGAGCACAAAATGGGCTCAGACTTTACTTGTGTGCATTCTTCACACCATGCGCAGCTCTTGAAAAAAAGTCACCATTTGTTGTTGCGTTGGCTACGTTAACTTGTTCAAGATGCACACACACTTGTCGATACCATTGCACATGAACTTCCATCGCATGCCCAGGAATCACTTTGACGCACTACTGACCTTTTTCGACAGGCAGACTCGGGCAGAACATCTACACGCCAGAATACCTTAGCTTTGCCGTATTTCAGAGATTCGTGGTCGTCCATACCCCCCACTATCACCAACAACACGACCCGTGACAACAACAGTAGTACAAGCACCGCCACCAGCACCATCACTACAGTAGTGGGCCCGCTATAGTGCACTTTGAATAGTGCAACCGCCCGATATAGTGCAGGTAAAATCTCTGCGCACAGACGGCGCCCTCAATAGTGCAGGATCTGCACTATTGAGGAAGATGCCCGATATAGTGCAGGTTGGGCACCGCGATGCCCCGCAATAGTGCAGGTGGAGAAACATTCACTCACACACACACACACACAATTTGGGAGGGTTTGGCTTCTGTATAGGACTTCGTGATATCATGAAAGAGTTCAACAACAAGCCACCAGTGCCAAGAGTGAAACTCATCGGATACGTCGACGACCTCCAAGCACATCTTCCACCAGGTTTGGCTAGGAACATGCAGGCCATATCCACTGTAACGAATTGGATTCAGGAACGTCTCTCCCAAAAAGGGATTGAGCTCAGNCTGTCTCTTATACACATCTAGATGTGTATAAGAGACAGGCGTTTATCTGGTGTGCCACGTTTGTTCCATCTGCTGAGGACGATTGCACCGTCTATCACCAACTCTGCCGCAAAAATACATGACAACATGATGATGTGGGCCATGAGTAAGATCGTCCTTGGCAAGATGGCCGACAGCATCAGAATACCAACGGTCAAAGAGGTACGCGCAGTCCCGACGAAGAGCGAG